AAGATAGTGCAACAGTTACTTGTTTTCCACTAGACCAGCTTATAGTTCCGTGCTGGAAGATGTAACCACTTTTAGATTTGCGGTCAGTGGTGTCTCCAGCCCAGTCAGCATCTACATATCCGATTAATTTTGGGCTTGACGTTGCTGGCAGTCGCATCTTCATTCTAGTCGTTCCCTTTAGGTACTGTATTACTCTCTTTACTGCGTTCCAGTCACATTGACGAGGTGTTGCAACTTTTCTGAAAAGTATACCAATTGCTGCCGCAATGTCTGGTCTTGTTACTGTAGCAATGTATAAAATTGTACAATTTTCCAATTTCCTTGTGGTAATTATCATTGTTGGGTAACAAGTTTTCTGTTCCATTGTTTTTCTGATAATCGGGTTCCATTGGTGTTCTCACTTCTTTTGCATCTTGCATGTGAAACTGTTCTAATATCTCTGTGATATTTTTACTTCAGTTTAGAAGATAGCTTCCATCTTCTTCCCTCTCTATTTGAATTCCTAGGTAGTGACTGATGTTCTGTTTCAATTTGTGAACTATTTGGTCATAATCCCCTTCTTGCTCAAAACAAATTATAAAGTCGTCAACATAAAGTAGAATATCTATCCATTTGTTTTCTTGCTTCTTTGAATAAAGACATGGATCTGCTTTACTTCTTGATAATCCTTCTTTTGTGAGCATTTCATTCACTTTTTCATTCCACATTCTTGCAGCCTGTTTGATTCATAGAGTCTCTTTTGAAGTTTACATACAAGGTTTTGTCCCTTTTCAAACCCTGGTGGCTGTTCCATATAGAGATCCTCCTTGATGTCTCCATATAGGAAAGCAGTTTTGACATCCAGATGCTTCACCTGCATTCCCTTTCCGGCTGCAATTTTTTTTCAGCCCCAAAAAAGGGCAAATAAAAATCCATAATAACTGACGCACAAACAAGCGCAAAAAAAAAAATCAATTTTCACCCATGGAGGGCTCCGCGCAGACTGAGGGTGGGGGAAGGCTTATAAAGCCTTGCCCCACCCTGCAATTAGGCTCAGAGCACTCTGATTGGTGGGTTTAAGCCATCCAATCAGAGTGCTCTGACAGGTAAATGAAGAGACTGACAGGTAAGTCTCTACATTTACCTGTCACAGCACTCTGATTGGTTAGCTTGAAATTCACCAGTCAGAGTGCTCTGTGTCATTTTACACAGAGTGGGAAAGTTCTTTGGATTGAAAGTAACCAATAAGAGAGTTATGAGTCAAATTACACAGCATGGGAAAATTCCAAAGAACTCTCCCACGCTGTGCAAAAATGACACAGAGCACTCTGATTGGATGGATTTCAAGCTGCACAGGGATGGAGCCCGGGGAGGGGACAATAGGTCCCCCCTCCTAATTTTACAATAGGTTTTGAATGTTTTTTTGTTGTTGTTTTTTTTACAGTGAGCAACCAGTTCGGCCGAACTTGGCGAACCCGAACATCCAGGTGTCCGCTCAACTCTACCTACAGCAAACACAACAGCAGGCAATGAAAGTGCTGTTTAGTAGACTTGTACAGGGAAGCAAACAAGAGGACAGGGACAGACAGACATACAGCGTTAGTACTTGCATGTCTGTCTTATTTTGCAGGCTTGACTCCCAGCAGTTCAGCTTGTTTGCCTTTTACTCAGGACTGATCAGCAAACAGAAGTGTGGGCAGCTGTGAAAATTGCCAGTTGTTAGTGAGAGTCTTGGATCAGATTATGGCTCCTCCAATATAACAAAGTAACAAAGAAACTCACCTTCGCAGAGATTTACCGCCTACCCACGCCTCCGCTGCGTACTACCCCAAGACAAGGGGCACATCATGAGCGCAATCAGGGGTAAGACCCCGCTTGATTTAGAGGAAGCCCAACTGACTTTTTATCAGGACTTATCCAAGGCCACCCTCCAGTGGAGAAAATCGCTTACAGAACTCACTGGCCACCTGCGCACAGCGGGGATACCATGTAGATGGGGAAACCCGCGCTCCTTGCTCATTACCCACCAGGGAACCACCCATAAACTCACTTTGGGGACTGAGGCCCCTACACTTCTCGCAAAATTGGGCCTACAAAACTTGCCCACCCAGGGCACACCCCACGTCTGGAATCCAGATGCCTCGGAAACGTTTGTGCCGAGAGAGCAGCGAATGGACACGCAAGCCACCTGATGGACAGGGGGAGAGAGGTCTCTTACCCCTGCCCGCTCAACGGCGATACCCATATGTCTTGTTTAACACAACCTGTATTCTCCCCACCTTCCGCGCAATACAATTCTGATGTTTATGTTATTACCTGTTTACCGCAAGCTAGAGGAAGGAGTTAGCAGGCGAGGACGCTGGCGCGCTGCCGCATTACCAGACCACAAGCCAAAACCTACCCCCCAACAACCTCTAGGTTAGGGCCACCACCCCACACGAGTGGTCTTCAGCGAAACTAGATGACCAGGCCACTTCAGAACGTAGAAATGAGCACATGTACCACTCACCAGACTACCTGACTGATAAAACGACACCCAGTGCACCCACACGGGCCCTAGCACCACTCTACCCCTCCACACAACTACTTGCTAACACCTATAGGGTCACGCCTCTGACACCGACCCATGACCTAGGTACTGCACCCGCAGGCGAGTTGCACGACTAAACCTCTATACGAACCCAACTTCTACCTAGGATTTTACGCATTTTATACTTACCAAAAAATTGTGCTAAAACTCATCAAATGCATTATTTAACCAACGTTAAAACCTGTTACCCTCTCAAACAATG